AATCACAAGTACCTAATCTAAAAAACATAAACTTATGATCATAACAATATTAAGATTAAGAAGACGTTATGGAATGGCTGACTATGTGACATGTGCCTTAAGATGGGTTAGATGCAATTAAAAATATACAGACTTAGGCCTACTATACAACCACTTTGATGTCCAAATTGAATTTTTTTCTGTCATAAGGCCTACATAAATGTTAAAATCAAATTTGTATGCCGTTTTCAAGAGGTCCAGGTCCATTGAACGTCTTCAGGTCATAGCCGCCTGTTTCTATCAAAAGTATACTCTCTCTATGATAGTATTAGTAGCCTATTATGTGCCTGTGCTTCAGGTCCATGATCATCATGGCATTAAAAATATGTTTGATAGATCTAAACATTTCTAATAATACATGGGAACTTCGATCCAATAGACAATGTCAGACTTTCAGAAGATCAAGTATTTTGAAGTTACTATCTTTTGTTAACAACATGTGATTCTATTGGAGTGTAGCATACTCAGCAGGGTCTGGCTACAGAGCTTCCAACTGGAGTCGAACCTCGTTTGTTGTCGGACAATAATTGCCCATTTACTGTGTCGCTTTCAGGAATCAGCCATTGGTAGCGCAATAATGGAACTTACATAAAACATTAAAACAGCGACTTTCGATGATAAAACACAGATACAAATCCATTCAGTTATCTTTAGTTACATAGGTATTACATGATGTTGATTTCTTTCTTTTTGTTGACTAATGGTGTAACTTCCGGTCCACACCGGAAATACAGTTTATCTTTTCACAGCCGAAAATCCATCATGTACCCATATCATAACTCTATGCTATACTCTATGTATGTACCTAATAAGTTCCTCTTTCCCATTGTTGAAGTCATTGACATGCCAGAGCAACATATTAACAAATTATAGATCTATATAGTTATAAATAAGATGTGACGATAAGGAATTTCGAATACGCACAGGCCTACCTCTTAAGATCACTGAGCTTAAGATTCGACCCAAGGTAGGCAACTCCAAATTAAAGCAAAGAATCATAATCAATTAACTGTGTTTTGTAGTGCCCGTATAATATAACAGTAGATTGCCTGTAAAAAAAATATATATTGATATTGAACCACCTGTGCGAAACATTTCCTTAAAACCACAGGTATAGCCTCGAACAAAATACGACAAAACATCCCTACTTAAACCAAACCTTGCCGAAAAATCCTATGCAATTTTCTTTATTTTATTTTTCTATCTTTAGATTATATTTCGTAGAGGGCGTGTTTCTATAACCTGCAAAAAGTATATGAATAGTTTGAAATAAAATAAAATATTGATTTTTCAGAATCTTCAACTTCAATACATGTACATGTATCTTACATATTAAGCCTATGAATGCGACTCGTTGCTGCATCTTATAGAAGCTAAAAATTTAATTTTCTTCTTTTATCCTACCTTAAGTCTTGGAGCCGCGATGCCTAATTGAACTAGACGCTTGCTCGTTCCCGAGTTCAATCCCGACATTGATCGAGATGATACCTTCGGATTTTTCAGGTACCAGGTAACAGGGGCTGACATGGAAAAGCATCTAGTCGTTCAGATGGCCCCGTGTGCTACAGGCTGTGTACTTTAAAGATCCCTCGACAGTTGGAAATTGAAAAGAGCAGGCTCATGCCTCTGTCATGGCAAATTTCCTTCAATGTACCCTACATGACGTTGTCCGTCTTCATGAGCTCACGTGCAGTAGCACGTAAAACTTAAAACTTAGTTCTACGATAAGGCTCGGGATATGGTTATGTCACTAAATATGTTGCGTCAAGTGGTAGACGTGTCAATATATAGGGAATGTATTTCGAAATATTGATCATATAGTCATACTGGAGAGTAAGATAAAAACTAAAAACTATAAAGACTACTCCTTCCATTGACATCATTGGAAAAAATATTGACAACTTATTGCGGAATAGGCTGGAATAGGGGCAAATGTTTAGGTCTAATTTTTGGAGTGATACAAACTGAATCATATGTAAGATAAAATCACTACAACAGTTCATGAGTAACATGATTTTTCATTTATATTGATTTCTGTCTGAAGCTGTATTTTAATTGTCTCTGATTCATAATGATAAATAATATCAGTGAAAAATATCTAAAAACATAATTTCACTTGGTATACTCGAGAATGTATGAGAATATTATAATGAAACATCATTTAATTTTTAAAGGGACAGAAGCTGTAATAGCTTTAAAGGGACAGCTTTGCCATTCTCTTTGAAACGGTATATTTCTGGCTAAACTAATCAGTAATAGTGTTCACAGCCCACCTACCCAATTTGAGCCTTCGAATCCATATGTGTCCAGAATTATCCCAGTTTGAAAGCTAAAATGACGACTAGCCTTTTCTTGAGAATATGTATTTTAGAACGTTAAATTCCTGGTTTGAGGTAGCCTATATTTGAAGGAATTATACGATTTTCGTGCATTTCTATTACTACTGATGACTAATTACATAGATTCAAGAGCAAAATCAACCACCGAAAATGGCGCAGCTATCCCTTTAACACAAGACATAAGACAGTAATATACCGACCTAAATACCGAGGAACCTGGATATTAAAGTCTGAAGGGACTATGTTTCCATACACCAAGAGCGAACCACAAGCATCATACAATTTATTATGTTGTAATAGCAAAATTTTGCAATATTTGTACGAGTTGTGACAGATAACTACGAGCAACCTACATGCATACGAACAGTTACGAGTTAGTTTCAAGCACCTACATTTTTTACGATTTTGTAGCATTCCTCCTCCGAATAGTAAACTATACATAAGAATACGCATCTATTCGTAAAGCACTCGTATCTACACGAAAAAAGCTCGCAATAACTTGTACAAGTTAACTGCATTAATCGAAATATTTTACGAGCAATTTACGGATGGTTACGTGTTGTTTCGACTTTTGTCTCTCCTTTCACAGATCCTTAATGCCCCCTTCACATACACACTTTTTCCTTACGCGTCCTTATGAATCGTCAACTCGTAGTTAACCGCAATCATCCGTAAATAACTAGTCGGTACCGGTAAAAAACTACTTGCAAGTCACAACAAGTCGCAAATCCGCGAGGGATTCTCACTATTGTCCACGACCAATTTATCCGTAATTAACTCGTAATAATCCGTATGTATCACAAACCGCCTGTAAACCACTCGCAACAACGCTTTACCATCTGTAAATTGCTACAGCAAGAAATAACGATTTATTACGGTTAGTTTACGATTTGTACGAGTTCTAACGAGCACTTTTCGTAAAGTTATGAGTTATAGATTCTCTGCATGCATATGCATAAAAGCTAAAAATATCATAAAAACTGTAAATAGTTCCATACGGGCAACAACTCAAAAACATTCAATGTCAAACTTATTGTCAAATTGAAACTTAACCAAGATGTCTTCGTTCTAGATGAGCACACCAGATTGAATTAAAATCAGATGAAATCCTTAGTCTCTATAGTAATCATGAATAAAGTTTGATGCATTTTTTTTCCAATTCAAGGGCAATAACTCAAATTCCGTTCAACGAAAATCGTCAAATCGAACTTCATCACACCAAATTCCATTTAAATTCTATATAAATGAACAAACCAAATTTCATCAAAATCAGACAAAAAATTTAGTCTCGATTGTGTTCAAAGACAATTGTGGATGGACGGACCGACGGATGAACAAGGGCGACGCCAATATACGACCACATTATAATGTCGGCGTATAAAGATGGAAGACAAATTATATGGAATGTTTTTTTAGGCTCTATTTGAAAAAGACAGGATTTTTAACCGAGCCCCAGGTTTATTGTCCCGTCCGAACGACTAATCGTTTTTTCTTTGCCAGTCTCTCAGGTCTTGAGGGTCGCAAGGGGAAACCGGGTTGAGAAAATCGGGTATTAAGCGGTCAAATGTGTGAAACTCGATGAGCAACCGTAGCTCCCGAGATCTGTAGGTTAGCAAGCATGTCTTAATCACTGATCTACCGCCAACCTATGTCCAAATTTGGCTCATCTGGTGGGGATTTCGTATGCCATCTGTACAGTGGCGGGTACTCCCATTTTATTTTCAACAAATCTAAATGTCTAGCTTTTTTCTCCAAAATATGTGTCAGAATGCACAAAATCATACATTTTTTTACAAATGTTCTGGAAAGAACCATCTAAGAACTCTATCAGAAGCTTGCAACTACACCACCACAGAGTAGCCAGTAATTTAAATTCAGCTTCAGCAGTTGTCCCCCATTGAGTCAGCCTGTCCCCTATTTTTACCACCAGTCTCGAAAGACTGGTGCCGCCACTGTGTCTGTAGCATGCGATGGACTCTAGTTAATGCGCGCTCAATGTCCAATGTTAGTTGTTAAAACTGAACATGTGTCGGCGGTATGAGATTCTAGTCAATTAAACAACACCAGATGCAGTGACTGATAGTAATTATTCTGTCTAATGATATATACGAATAAAAACAACACATTAAAGGGACTGTAAAGAGGTTTTCTTAAAAAAAAATATGTGGACAAGGGGCATCGATTTGCATCATTCCAATTTGCAATCAGACATCGGCGGTTCTAAGCAATTTCACTTAAACTAGACGTTTTTTTCACGTCACTATCGAAAAGGTCCTATCAATATATCAATAGAAGCTTTTCAAACAGTGGCGTCATGAAACGCCCGCGTTTGGTGGAAATGCAAGAGCCACAGATGTCTGACTGAAAATTGGAATGGTGCAAATTGATGATATCAGTGTCCAATACACATACAATGTTGGAAAACCTTTCTATAATCCCTTTAACGCTTTTCGAACACAGACTGTTTCAAAGAGACAAAATTTTTAGATTTATGATCTATATATCTAATAATTCGTCCTCTCTTTTATTAATTAGAATTCTTATATGCAAATTAATTTTGTAACCAGGACTATAAAGTTAGATTATTTTGATAGAATTTCTATTCTACTAACAACAGCAAAAATGCTGATGTTAAAGGCTATTTTGGTTTTGATGGTAATGGCTTGCCTGGTTAAACTAAGTAGCGAAACTCTTTCATCAAATTTTACAGATATTTCACCTATCTCTTATAATGTTGAAGATTTTGATGATGTTGTAGAACTTCAGAAACGAGGCGGTACTAGGAGGCGCAATCAAGTTAGGAATCGCAAGCGTGCCAAGAATAGCTGGCGTTCCTGGAATCGCAGGAGTTCTAGTAGTAGCAGTAGTTCTAGTAGTAGCAGTAGTTCTAAGAGTTCCAATAGTGATAAAAGTACAAGTTCTCAAAAGGGCGGTGGTGGTACTCAAGGCGGTGGAAAGTTCGAAACAAATACACCTTGTTATGTTACCGATATAATTTATACAGGTATGTAATATCGAGGAGTGTGTAAATGCCCTTATATTGTGCCTATAATCCGTATCAGACGTAGAGAAAACGGCATAAATCAAAAATAATACTGGCCAGTATGCATCAAATGAAATCAAGCCTACTGTCTATTTTTTGAATTTTTTCGATATTTTTCGAGAGAATTGGAATATCAGCCTCAAAATAGTATTGATAATCTTAGAATGTCTATGCGTTGACATTTTGTAAGTTTACTTTGAAAAGAATCAAATTTGTCTCGGAGAAATTTCAACCAAAAAAGTCACAAATTTTGGCTGAAAATTGTCCTCTACAAAAACAAATTTTGAAGTCATAATGTGTGCTCATGCTTATATTTTTATCATCACAAAGCCATTCTAAGACTAACAGTACTATTTTGAGGCTGATATTCCAATTCTCTTGAAAAATATCGAAAAAGTCGTCAGATGAGAGTTTCCAACAAGAACAAATCCACACTAAATACAGTAAATCTGTCTTGATGACCAAGCTTTTAGACACTTCTGTCATATAGATTTAGTATAGCGTCTGGTTCGAATGGAAAATAAGGTTTCAATTAATGTACAGATAATATAATTAGTTAAAGATGGGTTTCCTTAGTTACATTTATGAAAATGAATAGCTAATACTTATATGAATAGAAAGTAGAGGTGTTCTAATGACTTGGAAAAGTACCAGATGTCCATAATGAATTCATAATTAGCTCAATTAGAAGAGAATAACCAGCAGAATTCCAATGAGTGACCGATCAAGAAAGGGTAAAAATGTTTTTTTTTTGTTAATCCAATTTTAATGCAATAAGAACATAAGTTTAGCCACCTTCTCATATATATACTATTATAGAGAGAGTTGACTTTTGATAGAAACAGATGCATGTGGTATTCAGGCCAATGTTATTCTTTAAGAGTAATGTTAATTATAGCATCAAATTAACCAATTTTTTAATGTATTTAAAATTCTACGTGCTGCATGCGAAATATGAAAATAGATTAAAGTCAGGCAGAATAGAATTATATTTGGTGCATACTGGCCAAAACATTGTTTAACGTTATGTAAAACTTGCTGGCCCGGTTTTGAGGCTTATGTAAATCATAATTTTAACTACAGTAGTTGAGGGCTAGAATTGGAAATTAATCTTTTTATTTCATCACATAATGAAAGTCTTTATTTTTGGTAGGATATTTGGTAGATACCCAATGAAGACAAGAACGATCGATGTATATCCGAACATAGAATATTTATGGTTCAATAAACGCATTTATGAAATAGATTGATTTTATAGTTATACCCGATGGCAGCAACATTAAATATGAACGCCTAAAAACAGGTAAAATAATTGTGCCAGTGTCTTCGAGTGTCTGGCCGGTGTTGTGACCGACTTCACTAGTCTTATCGTTTGCCATTGTAAATGTATGGCGCGAGCGCGGACCTATGAGAGGCCCTCATATTAACTGACTTGAAACAGCCGTATGACTGCAGAAAATTCAATTGATTTCAATGCAATTTTACAACCACTATCCCCCAATATACTGTCCATATCTCACTAACTACCCAAAAAATCATTCTAAATAATCTTGATATGATGAGCACATGTGAACCACCCCGATTGTCAAAAGTGGTTGCCTATATTAAAATTAGTTTGACCCGGCTTTGCCTCTCTACCCCTTATCCTTCAGTTTCAAATAATTTAGTTCTTAAATATCTGATGCTGTGAACCGCCCTTCACATCTCCGTGGCCCCTACACGGCCCCACCACCTAACGATTCCTAGAAACGCTACACCACAAAATTATTTACAGTAACACTGTTACGAAAATATAAGTAATTTTAGTAAAAATCCATTCTAATCTTAGAACGTTAACCTAATTCCAATAGAGCTGCCCCTGATACCATTTCAGACCACAATACTAATTACCATACAATTATTGATAAATAAAACTAGAAACCAGATAGCACGATCACGTTTCGTTCAGAAATGCGACGTTAACCTGCCATCTTATTCAATTGTTATCCAGTTTCACGAGAAAGGCAGATAAGGTTCAATAGCATCTCCAGATTTTTTAACAGTCTGATGATGAGACCTTATAACAAAGCAACGACAGAGAAGTCTTCCTCCATGCCAATGTGAAAATTACATGGATTAGATTAATTAAAACCAACCAAGGGATCAACGAGGTTCCAGACTGTAGTTAAATGAGCTAATGAATGCAGATTGTTCATTGAAACTTTCTGAGGATGTATATTTCTCAAATCGATTGACAGTCCGAGCATTTCATTGGTCAGTGACTGTTGCTTTTAGATTGGACATATTCAATGATTTCCTGATGTTGTCACTGGACAGTTGGTCCTTGGTATGAGAGGGGATGTTCCTAAAGAATTTATCATTCAACCAAGATAAGTTCCCCGTCCCCTCAATGGCGTTTCTAGTAAACATAAGGTAAAAGGGGTTGGTTAAGGCAATTCTTTCACTAAGTAAAGTGATGACAAATTTGAAATGCCACCCCCCCCCCCCAGCCCCCCTCTCCACCATCCCCACCCACCACACACACACTGTAGAAACGTCACTGCACCTTTTCTCGGTTTCTGAGAAAGACCACTTAAAAAACTGTTAATTTATTTTGACATTAAACAAGAAAACAAAGAATTTATGACAGAATAATACACACTAACTGACTAGCAAGGTCTCACATTTAATACATATTAAATACAGTAAAATACATTATTCAAGCACCAAATTATGCACATTTTTATTAACAATAATTCATATATACGTAAATAGGGTAAATATCTTTAGCGAGTTCATTCCTACATTCAGTTCGTCCTTGGTCAAACGAATTGAAAGCAATAAGACAATATGAAAACTTACTCTCTTAATGTGAGTAACTAATCACAGGGAAGAGATCCGCACCAAGTCAGAAAATTATATGTAATGACATTACAGTGGCTAAATGGAAAGAGCTACACTTTATACATAATTCCTAATTACCTTAAGTGTGTGGGGGAAGGGGCATATGATATACAGCACATTCTTATCAAAATCCGAGATGCTGTATGTATTCTACATGTGGGAAGATTTAAATCTATTGAAATAAGGTGTCATATGACATAACAATATTAAGTCCATTTTTCTTGTTTACAAGCTAACTTATTCATTTATCAACAATTCAGTATGAATCATAAACATTTCATTAGATTTATTACGAACAAACAATATAGTAATGTAACAGTTCGAATTTTTTCTATGATAAAAAAAAAATTCACTGTAAAGAATTCGTAACAGAGAAAATACACTAACATAGTGTACTTAGAAAATGGAAGCTCTTCGAGAAAATATATCAAATCAACAGTTACACATACTCTCAGCATAATATTCAAGTCTTCAAAAATATCTTAAATTAGAAATTTCATTTTCTATTTCTATATATATCTTTTCTATGTATGGCTGAGTCTCAAGAAAAGACGAGTCGTCATTTTAACTTTGGTCAAATAAAAAATGCGACAACCATCATTTTAAATCGATCTTATGATTAAAACAACAGGGGTTAGGCAGTGAAGTTTTGCAAAAGGTTACAACAGTACCAATACATGCAAAGATTTATAACTTTATGAATCATATTTTGTCATACAAAGTAACAAAATTATTGAACTTACACTAATAATCATTAACATCTCTCTAATTTAGAGAAAGCATAAGAAAAAAAAACACAACAGGAATATAATTTGGATCCTTACATTATGACAAATTTTGGATTCCATTTATTTTCTTGTTCTTCCAAATGCATTAGTTCTGGTGCATGTTCATAAATAGCAAATCCGTCGGGTAGTTGGGAATATACAAACCGATTAAAATTATCACTCGGTGTTCGGATAATTTCATACAAAAATTGCAGTTCAAAATCTACGCAGGGTTAAATGGCTTATATAATTCCTTGCCAAAATTTCAAAACCGCATTTAAAAAAATCATTAGGAACAAAAAAGACAAAATATTTTTAAGTCTTTGATAACTGATACGCCTACGTCGTTTACTTTGCATCTAAAAGTAAGAAAAAAGCGTTATTTCCTGTGAGCTTATATGATGCATCTCTCACGACTGCAGCTATTCTCTCTAGAATACTACCTCTTTGAATGAACATAAAATTTAAATTCTCACACCTTGGCAATAAAAGTATATATTCATCAGTGGACTTAACTGGTGTCACTACTAAACAGAATTGGTTAGAATTCATGCGTTGATGAATCCGTTTTACTAAGTAATTATTGAAAACGCTTAAGAGCTTTTCATGAAATGTGAATAAAACTTACTAATTTACATAGTAACGTTTTGCATACGTTTTACTTAAAGGGAAGTAACTCTTTGCATTGTTACTTGACCATTGAGGCTTCTTGTAAAAATATTTAAATTCAACTTTATTCGTTACCTCGTCATAGTGTGGAATCATATGGAAAGATGGAAGACGTCGACTCATTGACCCTGCTCTCTTCTACCCGTACACCCATATCTGAAAATCCCACCTCCTACACATTCATTCATCCTAGATACATATAACCCATCCCACTACGCTTCCTCTCCTTTCCCTAGTGTCACTAATTTCTTTCCAAACGTCTTTTCTTCCCTTTATCACTTCTTCTCAGCCGCTTATCCATATTACCCTCATTCTCCTCTAAATTTTCCCTGACCCATTTTCTTTCCTTTCTGCTCCTCCTAGCTCTTTTTCACTTGTGAATTTGTTTGAAATTTCTAACTATCTGCTACCAAATATTTTAAACTTAATTGAACCCTCCAGTTATTAAGTCCACTGATAAATATCGACTCATTTTGGTCTGAATTGAACATTTAAATTTTATGGTCATTATAGAAGAGATAGCATTAAGATCCATAATAGAGATTAACAACATCTCATAAATGAATTCTATCTTATTTTGGTAACATAGGAGCTTTCTCCTCATCTATAGGTGATAATCGTTGTTCTAGTTTATCTAACACTACATCAGATAATGATGTCGAATGGTCTTGGTTATCCTGATCAGTAGATAGAAGTCTATCTGATGCTCCATTCCCTTCATCTTCTGTATCATCTATATACTTTATTTTATCTATACCGTTCACATGTTTATCTGAAAAATATAGTAAACTCTTATTAAATGAAATTGGCTTTTACGTTGAGCTTTCATCTCCAGTATTGGCTGCTGAATACGGAGAATACCATAAAGTGTACGTTGAGGAAAATATTGTCAGACACCTGTTGTTTGAGCCCATCCTTTTTGTCCGTTTTCAGATCGTCGAAGCATCTTTAAAGGGATTGTAAAGAGGTTTTCTAAATTTTGTATGTGTATCGGGGACACTGATAGCATCAATTTGCATCATTCCAATTTTCAGTCTGATGTCTTTGGTTCCAGTAATTCAGGATATTTGATGTCATCAAACACTTAGTTTTTTGTAAAATTGCAGGAACTACAGTAGCCAGATTGAAAATTGGAATGGTGCAAATCGATGCTAGCAATGTCCCCGATACATACCTTAATTCTTTAAGGTTCTAAGCATGTAGCACATAAGGCCCATCAGTACGATTTCAGTTCCCTTTCAATGTAAGTTCGGACCCTACCACCTCCCCAAACCTGCGTCAAATAACTTCTACGGGTAGCCAGGTTATTAAAAATATTAATAGAAATCGAAAGTGGTATCTCGACCCTTGCCAATATCGAACTCGAAATATCGGGTCTAAAGGCAAAATACTTATTGATAAAAAAAAATGCTTTCAAAAAGCCAAAAAAACTTATTCATGTAAAATTACAAGCAGGACACAATGACCTAGTAGCATTCATGCATGATTGCAAAAGTATGACTCTTTTCACGAATCGATGCTTTTGAGCGCTTGGATATTAAAAGCATCTATTTTTTCTTTTTTACAAGCTAACTTATTCATTTATCAACAATTCAGTATGAATCATAAACATTTCATTAGATTTATTACGAACAAACAATATAGTAATGTAACAGTTTGAACACAACAAAATCAATAAGTCTACTCGTTGTGTTAGTTGTGTCATCATGCACCTCAATTTCATTCATTTCAAGTTGAAATCAGAATATCTCTTCCTAGAAATCTTCCACACCAGGGCCTTGCTTCTTAAATTATCTATTGATACAATTCTGAAGTTAGTCTGTTGCTAAAAAAAATCAATCTTTTTTGCTCTTTTAAGAGATTGGAACCGATTTAGTCCATTGTAGCCATTTCCTAAGAAAGTTGAGTTTGTGCTATCAAGAATTTTGTTTAGTAAAATACAGCAGATATATTCAAACTTAAATGCTTAAATATTAAGGTGGATCAAATGGATTCAAAATATCTTTTTACATATTAATATATATTCTCATCATCAATATTAAAGGGACAAGTTCGGCTGACCAATTATAACTTAGTCTCAGAAACAGGAATTTTATAGCTAAGCTTATCCGTTATAGTGTTCACAGCTCACCATCGATATCTGAGCCTTCAAATAAGTGTGTGTCCAGAATTATCCGCGTTCGAAAGTTAAAATGTCGACTCGCCATTTCTTGAAGCTCCTTCATATGTAGCAAAAATAGAAGTAGAAATAGAAAGTGAAATTCATAGTTTGAGGTATTTTAGAAGGAATGGTGAGATTTTCGTATATTTCTAGTACTTCTGAAGACTAATTTCATGTACATGTATTCAAGATCCAACCACTGGAAATATCGAACCAGTCCCTTTAAGTATTATTAACGCATATCAGGTTTCATCAAAATCCGTTCCAAATCCCTCTCTTAAAAAAACATACTAAATTTCGAGAACATAAAAAATCTGACATAAACTGTAGCCTTCATCGTGACACCAACAATAATTGTGGACGGACTGACGGATGGACGGACTGAGAACCGTACAGGGACGACAGTATACATGTATATCCGCAATATAAAGTGGGAGTAAAAAATAATACAAAAGACGAACCTTGATCAGATCCATTCCGTGATCGTAAATCTTTCTTCAATGTCGTAGCATATAAATCCTCTATATTGCCCCCATCTAACTTTTTATAACTTCCATTTTTATTCGACATTTCTGGTGCGGTATAAATTTTAGACTTAGAACTGAAATCCTGGAACTCTATTCCATCTTTACTGTCGTGTACATGATTCTGTGATGGAGTTTTCTGGAAAAACGAGAGGAATCCACTTTCATTGGCACAAAATCAATATTCAATGGCGTAGAGATGAAAATAATCTTACTATAATAAAATTAGTCCGAAGTTTCTTGACTCGTTCTATTCTTCTCGTGGGTATTTTGACAAAGTATTGAGTAGGAAAGACAAGAAAAACGAAAGTGACTTCTTATGACGAGGGGATGTTTATTGAATTCAAACTTTTCTTTTGGAGCTACAACAGCCTTATATAAAATCTCATTAAACGGAGTAAGTATCGTTACAGTTACACTGCGCTGAGAAATATCCAAATCTGACTATTTCGGAGCCACTGGAGCCTCATTTAGGCCATGGCATCTTTCCTTGTCCTCGACACTAATCATGAAATTTGCTTTATCACAAGGCCCTTCGCGATTATTGACGTCATCAAGCACCTTGACATTGCAGTTAGTTTAAGTTATCATCATTACACATGCAGTAGATTTTTTACCAAAATAGTGAACCTGTCGCGAGTTGCTTCAGGGGGAGAACAACTAGATTTGTGCCTGTAATGTAGGTCTACTTTGTAAGGTCTTACGTCTAGCGGACTCGTGTTTGCTTGATAGATCAAGTTTCTTGTTGTCGTACATATCGGCTCGTCATTAAAGGCAAAGGCAGACTCTTTCGGACTTATTTCTTAGTAAGTTAAGATATATTGTTAGCTAGTGTAATTCAATTTCATACAAATTAAGATCAGCCCTGTAAGAGACTAATGAATTTGAAACTATCCGAGGTCTACTCCATAGTCACATTTAATCCGAATTGATAGTTTTAATCTGAATCAGTCTAGACTATAAAGGCATAATCATTTCTCAAATAGTTTAAGGGGTATAATAAATGTCTTTACATATTTGTATACACTTAGTATTCAGTGACGACTACCTGTATCACTTCTCAGATTTAAAACCAACGTATGGTATGTCATGATCAAGTTTATAAACTTTGCCAATTCTAGCTATCTAATCCTACGATGAGATAACTAGTCATATTTGGTTATAATTATACAGACAGAAAAGCGTAACATGTTCTGGATGTGTTTCTTGATTTCCCAAACTGGCCTGAGGCCTAAGATAGGCTCTAGTCAATAAACTTGTTGAAAATGACACTATTGATCATCTATAGTGTTAATAAATGAAATTAAAGAGATTGTAAAGAGGTTTTCCCAAATTTTTTCAATTTTCGGGGACACTGATAGCATCAATTTTCACCATTCCATTGTTCATTAAGACTTCTGTGGTTCTTGCAATTGCACTTAAACGTATTGTTTGATGATGTCACTAATCGCGAAGGCCTTGTGAGATACAGGCATATTTCGCGATTAGTGAGGTCACCAAGCACTCAGTTTTAGTAGACGTCTGATTGAAATTTGAATGGTACAAATTGGATGCTATCAATATCCCCGATACACATACAAAATCTAGAAAATCTCTTTACAATTCCTTCAATGAACTCGTTCTATAAATGAACAATAGAAACTATTAAGAAACTCTGTATTTCTACGTTTAAATATTGACGGAAACTTGTCTTATTCTTCAGTCTAGTATCTTATAGCCATACGAAGACGACTATAAGCTATAATTCAAGTTTAAGCCTATTGGTGTATCAGTTCTATTGGAAAACCAATTTGATATCAATTTGATGCAATTTAAACTTAGACAGTTTTTCACATTAATCATTAAACGGTATAGCGAAAATAAACTCCTTATTGACAAAGAGCTATTATGCTATATTCGATATTTTAGAATGAATATAAAAAGTGTTTAACCTTTTTTGATGCATGCATATTCCAACCTTACCTGATTAAGCACATGCGTTCAATCAAAGATACTCTTATAAATAATTTAAAAGATTATTTGCTGTTCCAAATGGTGTACCGATATCAAGAGACGTTTGGCATGTATATTCAACCGCTAAGAAAATACATATATAGAGACAATTTTTATTTCAAAGTCCCCTATTACTTTACAAACTTCATTCGCCAGATATCACTCTACGCCTGGGCTTGTCAACCCGACACAGACCTGTAGCTAATGTTGATTGTTCGGAGGGGCAAGTAATGTAATCGGAGGGGCAATAGTGTTTAGTTGAATTTTTTTTTAGGGATATCCATTTATTACACTCCGCGATAGGTCGGTGATTTATTATCCCTGGCAAGGAATGGAAGTAGCCTGTCACTAGGTTTGGCATCCCTGTCTCATTGTTCAGAGAAAGCACTTAACATGTTAACGTATGCAAAATTAAACATTAGCTGAAACCTCCAACGTTGAATGTTGTGCGAGCAGTAACCTGACTTTCTCTCGGATAGAGAGAAATATTCTGTTTCCGGTTTATATGGAGAAAACACGGGTTTGCTCACGTTTGTTTCTAAAATAAGACCAATGTGAAATGTTATTTTCAAATAATGACGTCTTGGTCTAGTTCTATTGACGTTTTAGCCGAATAGATTCGAAATTATGTTGCTCACGCAATGATTGGAAACAAAATGGAAATATTTTAAATCAGATTTAGTCATGAGATGTCTTTATTTAATCAACGAGTTCAACTCTATTTTGAAATCGATTCCCATTATTTATAGTTCTTACATAATTCGGACGTTTTAAATTCTTAGAGTAGATTTTTTTAAATTCAAAACAGCTTATTTCATTTTATCGATTATTAACTAGAAGCGCGGAATTTTCCGCCAAAAAATAATAACCTTCGCTCAAATACTAAATCTAGTGTCAGGTAAAGGGGAATAACCCAGAAACTGTATAAAATAATATCACCAAAATGTAATTGGAATGTTCCACCCAAGAAAAGAGGCTGGCCCGAGTTTCCCCCCACTTCCACACCCCGCAAGTTTTTACCATTTAACACATTGAAAAAATGACCTGTGGCCCTCTGGAAAATTCTGTAGTCCTGTTCGTCCCCTCCACATGATGTTTCCTAGAAACGGTACTGTGTCTATTGTTTGAATGGATTTTAATTACTATCTTCTTTTGTTATCATCAGGACTCGCTTGTTGAATTCTACATTAGTAAATACCAATCTTAGGACAAAAAAGTTCGTATCATACTCAGATGGAATATTCCACAAAAAGCTGAAAAGCAACCGGCCTACCTCTGATATTCTCAATGATCGTTTTCGTCGGTAATGACGGCTAACAAAGAATCCAACAGTAAAGAAAACTACAGAGCCTACAGCTACCGCAATGATAATGGCTGCTCTTGTTCTATTGTCAACAGCTGCTGTATGTAGTTGTTCTGACTACAAAATAAAATGTTTACATGTTTCAATTATCATGACATGCTATTGTAACGGTATTGATCAATTTGTATTTAAATGTTTTGCTTGTTTTTTTTATTATCTCCCTTTATACAATATTTCGGAGGTTAACGTGTTATCTTTCTGCATCCTATTGGGCCAATGAAAACAGTCAAAGTGTACGGCGTTATCCAGAAGGGCGTATCATTCATTCCTAGCAATATATCATCAGCAAATTCAATCGGTGGCTAACTTACGTAAATTAAGTTTTACGTTTAACTTTTTTGCACCTGAAGAAGTTTATGAATATGGTAATAGTGTGCCATACTATTTCAAATATTCGGAGGTCTTTTAAGTACACAGTCTTGGGCACATAAGAAACGGGTTTATTATCTACTACGAACGACTAGATGAGTTTTCGGGCCAATACGTTCGACCAGCATCTCTGAGAGGCAAATTCAACTCGGTTTCCCCCTGTCAGCGATGGGGGTAAGAGGGCTGACATGAAAAAAGCATCTAGTCGTTCGGATGGGACAATAAACCGAGAGCCCGCGTGCTACAGGATGTGCACGTTAAAGATCCCTCGACAGTTGGAAATCGAAAAAGAGCAGGCTTATGTCGCTGTCCTGGCAAAATTTCCCTCATTCCATACTACATGGCGTTACCTGTCTTCATTAGCCCACATGGTGCAGAGAAGTAGGACGTTAACTCCATTTATTTCATTTCATTTTCTGAGTGGCGAAAACTGGTTTAAAAATTCCTCAAGAACCCCAAACCTCGAGACTATGAGTTCTATGTTTTCAAATATCATCAGCCAATGTACATCCATTGTCATATTAGATCGTTAAGATACTTTTCGTTGTACCGATATACAATATTAAAGATCTTAAATCGTGTTACCGATATATGAGCTCTAACTTACATCTTTTTCAGCACCTGGTGATACAACAATAACCTCTTCATCTTCTTCTTCTTCTCCTGAAAAGGGGAATTGTACGATCAGTTCTTTGCATTTTAAAAGATTAGGGAAGCAGTTCTTCAAAAGTGCCTACACTTTAGTATAGCTAATAGTTTTGCAACACATGGCACTGAAGTAAGTTTTGTCGGCTTTTTCGGAATAAAGCAAAGATTTGGCTCCACGTGGCCATATTTTTATTTCTCCATATGTAGAAAATCAAATGGACAAATAGTAAACTTTAAAAATGCCAAAAACATAAATTTTATAATTTCTATAGCTAAAGAGAGCTAGGAGATATCTGGAAAAGCATACTTATTAGCATGCTTTTGTCCCGAGTTTCTAAGTGTATTACTGTACTATTCTCATGCTCATGCAGGGGTGTTAAGCAAAGCTTACCTGGTGGGAAAGTTCTAAAGCTATTAATACCAAATACTACTACAGTTTCAATACTATCATTATTCTCACCATTATCTTTTAGAATTATCTCCCCTTCGCCAGAAGAGGGCAGCTCTTCAACTAATGGCGTCGTTTGCATAAAAACATCGGCACCACTACCTTCTCCACTGCCTTCGAAATTATCAGTAATGGAAATTTCCTTATATTCATATAAAGAACTCTCGTCTGTTTCAATCGGTTCTTTGGTCGTGTAAACCGGAAGTAGATTGTCTTTTTCAGCTTCGTCCTCTGGAAGGACAACTAAATTCTCCAATAGCGCACTTCCGGTTTTATCAACTCCTTTAGGATGCTGATTACTTGTAGTTTTGTGTTTGCTGGTGTCAGTTTGACTTTCTTTGTTTGTGTTTATATTAATTTTCAGTTCGTCTTTATTGACAAAGGTTTCGTCTGCTTGCATATTTGCCACCTCGTCGTGGACGCCGAGACAAAATTCAAGATATGTTTTGAGATGTATATGAGTTTTTGATGCACATGATTCACAAAACACATCTGAAGTTCTACTGCACTCGTTTAATACAAATAAACCGACTCCACATTGTGAGCATTGATTGCACTCAATATCTGAATTAAACTTATGTTTAAAACTGCCCTCCGGACATGGCGTACACACTGTGTCTCTATCTACTGTACAGTTAGTTAACGCGTGGTATCCTGGTTTACATAACGAACAGCGATAAGTCGGCAAAGCCTGGAAGCATAAAATAACAGTAATTGTTATGAAAATAACTAGTTAAGAATTATATTTTGAAGACATTCATTTTAACATAAAAATATTTGCTGATCTGCTATAATGAACCAGAAAAAGTGAACAACAACTAATTAAATTTTTTCGAATTTTTAGCAATGGATTATGGTGTCTTTTGCATTCATGGCGGCTTTGATATTATAGAAAATCATTATATACAATTCTCTTTATATCGCGGTGTATCCTGTATATGACATAAGTAGGTACCATGTCTTTGAAAACCAGTGGCGATGAGTAGACAATGCCGTAGCTCAGTCAAAGTTAAAATAAAGTAAAGGGGTCTGTTTGGATGTAAAAAAAAAACAACATTGAAACAAAAATTTGGTCGTCATAAGCATTTGCATCATAAATTACTCAAATGCAGGATACAATTTTGCCTGACACACGGATTGTTAAATTAAAGATATTTTCGTTATAGTAAAATACTGGATAACACATATTTTGTATTAACCAATCGGTGCTTAGATCTTAACTACTGAATCGAAATTAACCCTTATTAACACTGATTGGCGATAATTGGTCTAATCAGTCGGCACATTCTGTGGCTAAGAGTCACATTTTGTTCGGAATTACTCGTATCTAAGTGGACAAAAATGAAGATTTTTTTGCAAAAAATAGTAAATTTCGAAGCTGAAATTTTTACTGTTTAATTAGTCGGCAATTGTTTGCTTGTTTAAAAAAAACTGGAGTTAAAAATATTTGTTTTTAAAATGATTTGTGATATTCGAGGCAAAATGTCCGTTTTGGCTACCTAATTGTGCGAGAGATCATACATGTAAAACTATACAAGAAAGTCATAACTGATCTGCTGGCCAATGAATAGAGCTTGGGTTATAATTAGATATAGTCTTTATCATCCAGACAATATCGTTCGTATTGCCTTAATATGCATTAACAGAATTAGATTCAAAATCTGAAAATGGACATCAACACCATGGTGTTCCATAAAAAATTATAACTAGGCAAAGTACAAGTTCTCTTGCCATAGATCTTGTGGATATTCGTGATATCGTGTTGATTTTTACATGAGTAAAACATGTGATTTTCTGATAACATTTTACTGTTTCTAAGTTACATCTATCATTTTACCACCGTGAGTTTGATTACATACAGTTTAGTCACATGGCAGAACATTTTTCAGAAAAGATTTTATTGCGTAATAAATCTATTGTAGAAATAAAACTGATCAGATTTTACTCATTCATAATAGGCTCGATTCCCATTCTAATTTCGTTCCGATTTTATAGCTTTTATTTTTAATATAGCCACTTCGGTTAGGGTCTAACGACAGCCCTCTTGATTGTTCGTCTAAGTAACTCAATGACGTCTGCTTTAACCAATCAAATCTCTACCCTCACCAGCGCTGGCATTTTGTGACGCAGTGTTTATCAGGGTAGGTCAAAAGGTTAATTTGACGAACGTTATAGAGGGCTGTCGTTAGACCCTTGAAGAAGTGGCTAAATTAAAATTAAAAGCTAAAAAAGAAAACGAAACCAAAGTTTGGGCTAATTTTAATCAAATTGACTCGGTATTCAGATCGATTTTAATTTCATTTTGATTCTACTTTCTGCGAAATGAATTTTAAGTTGACAGACTTATCTACGTGGCAAGCGAGGGCTGTCTCGTTACAAACGTTAGTTTTTTTACGAGATGAAAACCACTTTGAACAATCAGTCCCAAAACCATAAATATCAAAACAATTGTCATTCACTTTTGACATGGTGAAAACTTCATTTGATTTCATACGTATGCGTATAACATTGCAATGTCGGTTAGTGCATGTCAGTCTCACTTTTCTCGAGTCACATCTTAGTCGGTGAACAAATTATTTTTAAATGACGTGCTCATAAAATATTCTTAAAGATGTAACAAAAATATCATCCTCTACTATAAATATATTTCTTCAATGACAGCCAGACAAAATCTGACATAAAGTGACATTATTTGATGACGTGACATATAAATCTTCTCTAAAAAATATATGGAGCGCCATGACTGACTTATGTGATGCAAAAATGAATCAAAAGTTTAAAGTGTTATGTTATAGTATGAGGTACATGAATATATAAATGCAGCACTATACATTTATGACCTGGGATACATACTAGTTATAACTATACAGCCGATACAAATTTCAAAATGGGATACATACTAGTTGTACCATTACATATGATGCAAATTCAGTATGGGATACATACTGGTTATATCATTACAACTGATAAGAATTACGGTATACATACCAGTTATAACATTACAGCTGATGCAAATTTCGTTTGGGATACATACTAGTTATATCATTACAGCTGATACAATTTCATTGTGAGATACATACTGGTTAATACATTAGCGTACAGCTGATGCAAATTTCACTATACGATACATACTAGTTATAACATTACAGCTAATACAAATTGCAATATGGGGTAATACTAGTTATAACATTACAGCTGATGCAAATTTAGTTTAGAATGCATACTAGTAATATCATTACAGCTGATACAATATCAAAATGGGATACATACCATACTGGTTATAACATTATCCTGCAAATTTCCCTATACGATACATAGGGCCTACTAGTTACATTGCAGCTAATGAAAATTTCATTATGTGATAAATACTAGTTATATAATTACAACTGATACAAATTTAATTATGGGATAATACTGGTTTTAACATTACAGTTGATACAAATTTCATTATGGGACAATACTAGTTATAACATTACGACTGATGCAAATATCATCATGGGATAATACTAGTTATATCATTACAACTGATGCAAAATTCGTTTTGGGATAATACTAGTTATATCATTACAACTGATGCAAAATTCGTTTTGGGATATATACAAGTTATAACATTACATCTTATTCGAATTTCATTACAAGATACAGATTAGTTATAACATTACAGCTGATGCAAAGTTTATAATGCGGTACATACGAATTATCTCATTACAGATTACGTAGATTTGGTTATATTATAAATTGCATAGAATACACAGCAGTATGGATATTGCTGATACAAAATTCATATGGGATACATACTTTTATAACATAACGACTGAGGTAATTTTCGTATGGGAAACATACTTATGTATAATTATATGTGGTGCACATTCATTTATTGGAGCACACATTATCCTGTCAATGCTCTCATATAGGTCAAACCATCACAACGAATATTGTTGAACCCCCTATCAGACGGATTAATGGATTTAATGAAAACCGTATGTAACAGTATCTTTTTTCGGCGGTCAATGACTTCGAGTGTCAACGACTTCGAAAGTCATCGATGTCAACCTTCTCGCTTATCAGCCCACTAATTTTCAATTGCTTTACGTTAACTAAGATTTCTTTTGAGTCAGTATAGTATAACACCGACAACGAACAAATGTCGTGACATTGATATCAAAGTGCAATACAATAAACTATAATATAAAAAGTGACCTTTTCTGACAGAAATGAAGGATAAATTTGATGGAGAGTTGAAACGGTAAAGGAAGTAAAAAATGCTATTGAGATAAAAGACAATTATTATTGTATCTTATATATTTTATTAGAGAGATAGTATTATGATTCCGTTACAATACAAGTGGCTTCACAGATTTTATATCTCGAGGGAAAACGAACCGTTGACTTTATGAACACCAACGTAACATGTCATTTTATTAGCGAGTAAGAATGGAAATGAAGAACGAACATGCCAAAATATGATTAGACGTCAACAGACATCCTGCATCATTCACATTCACAGTGCAGTGACGGCCATGCCCCTGGAAATTGGGCCGGACTGATGAATGGAGAGAGAAGGGGGGGGGGGGGGCTTTGAGAAGGGTCTGAGGGAATTGATTTGGTACATTCTGACACATATTTTGGGGCACAAACATATTAAAACCGAAGAAATGAAGTGGGGGTTACAATTGGGGGGACAGAAAATATTTCTGGGACAGGGACAGAAGAGTAAGTGACATAAGAAATTGATAATACAATGTCAAGCATACAAATTTAAATTTGCTATTAACGATTATTTTTTATTTATATAATATAAAACTGAAAGTAATATTTTTATATACCACATTGATATCGGCCCTTTATAGTGATCTTTGATCTGTGATTACTAGTGATTTATCACTTACAATTCAATCAAATAGCCAGAAGGTTCAACACGATAATAGCAAATATGATAACAAACATTGATATTTGATTTCACTATATTATTGTATTGCTGTCATCGATTGGATCATTTCTTGGTTTTTATTTGGTAGGTGATGGTTATTTTTGATAAACAACTTGACCTGATATTTTCATACCATTCAATATTACTTATGGTGCGAGTACTCGAACGGTCTTGGTCAGCAATTTTTGTTGACAGACGATAAAACAGTCGGCGACAAATATCAAACTGGTTGATATTATAAATCCTGTCCACGATAATCTTGACGTGGAAGCGCTGACACACATGATATTTTACTCGAGATTCGCGTCGGCGACAAAAATCGGTAAATGTTTCGTAAATGTCTCTGAATCCGAATTTATCTTCACTGTCAAAAGATACATGATAAAATACAGTTATATGATATTTTATAACATAATTAATTATACCTGTGAAAAAATAAAGGACGGATGATATATCATAGATAACCTACCTATACAATCAGTAGCTCAACTACATGAGTAGGGGCCCCTCCCAAGGAAATTTGTTTTTAACACATGCTCCCCTGCATTTTTTTTCTTGGGGTGAGGCCCCCGTAGTGGTGAGGGCCGTGTACTTGGTTCAACCAGTTCCTATGGTAGTTGAGCCACTGTTTGTAATAACCTACAGATGGAGTTTTCTAATTATCTTCTATATTCAATCTTCGACGGATCATACCTCGGTTTATTGTCCCATCTGAACGACTTGGCAATTCTTTCATGCCAAACCATTTAACCTGCATCACT